CAGCTGTAAAGCAATGCAAGTTGCCCTGGGGCCTTGGGGCAGCTGCAGTTTGTTAAGTAATTTTCAGATTACAAAGGGCCGGGCCTTTCATATGCAAAAGCCTCAGTGCACGGCTTGGGTGGGGCGGGGTCCCAGGGGATCAACAGGGCAGAGCAAGCAGCTATGGCTGCTCCTCAGTCCTGCTCTAAGAGGCCCTGCTTCTCAGTGTCCCAGTAATCGCTGCAAGCACCTCTGAGAGTAAGCTGCCCTCAAGGTCCGACCGATGCCAGACAGTCTAGCCTCTCCCCGTATGAGTCTGGGTCCCCAGAGACTCGCCCGGAACTGGAGTTCAGAGCAGTTGGGAACTTGAGACTCCCTCCCGATTGAAAAAGACAACCGTGTCCTCAGCCGCCAGCCCTTTCCGCATGTGCCTCCGTACCTCTGCACTTTACTTCCACACCGCACCTCCTCTGAGTCTCGGTATGCTTTTCTCTTTCCTTCTAGTTGTAGAATTTCCACTCAGCCAGCCTTCCTATGGTTCTGGATGATGTCCGTTTTGTCTTTTAGTTGTATTTTTGAAGTGGTTGTGCGAGGCAGCAATTTCCGGTGTTTACCTATGCCGCCATCTTGGTTTCTCTTCCATATTTAATTTTCTTGTCTTACTTTCCCCATTCCACTTGCCCAGGAATTTTCCTAACTTCTGACTGTTTTGCTTCTACAAGCCACACTGAATCATTTCACTCCTTCATCTTTTACTAAGTTCCCATTGCTGATGGTGGCCTTTCTTCTTATCCCCACCTGTGTTCACGCTCTCAGTGGTTCTTCGTATTCAATTCAGCCTTCCCTCAAAAAGAAAGAGGCCATTTTCTCCTCTCTCAGTTCACATTGTCTCATGAACATATTTTAGTTGTAACAAATGGTACTTAGACAATAACAGTATTGATGTGGCTTTTGTTTTCCATGATGTGTCCATTTTACTGACAAGAACATGCTGCTTCCTCACAGTGGTAGAAAAACTTGTTCATTCTATAGTTTCCAAAAGTAAGCAAATCAAGAATAAACTTTCATAAGAATTTAGGAACTTGGTAGGAAGACTTTTGAAAATTAGTCCAATATTTTCTGACATCTTTGAAATTACTCTTTCAGGTCAGCGTTCAAAATCCCACTCAGTTTATACGAGATCTCTAACATGTATTCACATCTGTGGTCCTTGTTTTGAAAATATAGGCTAAAGAGTCCATGCATGTAAGCAACGAATATGTGGATGAAAATGTAGAAAATGAAAGAAAGAAAGTCTTGGCACAGTCTCCTAAATTGAAGAATAGCCCACTGCTTCTCAAAGAACTTGTGAAGGTAAAGTCGTTCAGTGACAATATTTCCCTGAGCTTTGTCCCTGCCAAGGATGTATTGGACGAATTCATTGGGCTGCTGTGGGGTCTGTGCATATCCTGGTAAAACAGATGGCTGGAAGGCAGAGTGCTCCTGAGAAACTGTCCACAGGTAGCAGTTATAATTGTGGGTGACCCACAATCGGTGCTTCAGTACATTGTGATTTTTTTAATGTTTTCAGACTTATTATAAGTGTCGAGTTGTAAATGCTGTAAGAAATGTTTCCCTTGTCGTAAAAAATTCTGAATGCTTTGGATTATTTGGATTAAGTGGAGCCGGAAAAACCACTATATTGAAAATGTTAACTGGAGATGAGACCATAAGCTCTGGAGTTGTATTAATTGATGGCATTAGCCTCATTGAAAATATCAGAAAGGTAAGTGTGTTCCTAATCACTGAGTTTTGCCCCAAGGGAAGAGGTAACCAGGCAGGTGGGCGGGAGACATGGAAGGGAAGCTGGGAGAATTCAGATATATAAGATGAAAGATAGATAAACGCTAGATAGATAATAGGTACATAGATGATAGATAGGGTAGAGATAAATGGAGATAGAGATGATAGATAGAGATATAGCTCCTAGGACAAGGGAAACTAAAGAGAAAATTAACAAATGGGACTACATCAAAATAAAACGCTTCTGTACAGCAAAAGAAACCATCAACAAAACAACAAGAAAGACCACTAAATGGGAGAACATATTTGCCAATGTTATCACCAATAATGGTTTAATCTCACATTTACAGCGAACTCATACAACTTAACAAAGGGAAGATAAACAACCCAATCAAAAAATGGGCAACAGACCTAAATAGATATGTCTTCTTTTCAAAAGAAGACATAAGGAAGGCCAAGAGATATATGAAAACATGCTCAAAGTCACCAATCATCCAAGAGATGCAAATCAAAATGACAATGTGGTACCATCTCACACCT